GTAAATGGATTTCATGTAATCTGATAAAACCCACAAAATAAGCTGGTCACGTTTTTATACAATGTTTAACCCCCCCCCCCCAGCAAGTAATATGCATGCTTTTTCTTTTTTGCATAAGCTACCCCAATAAACCATGCACACTAAAAGCCAAAACAGAGCTGTCTGCAGTAGGCAGTGGGGATTAACTTTAGAAGGGTGTACAATGTGTCTGTGTGTACATTTGAATACTAATGAGGCATACAGGTCAAGTCAATTAATTATACGGGAACACCTGCTGGGCAGACAAAGACAATTACTAAGGGGTCACTTGTCTTTTCTCTTCAGAGGTCAGCCGTTATTTATTAGTGGGGTCAGCGGGGATATTTTGGGGGTCAATTGTAGAGTTTCTGGACTGTTTACATGTGTACAATGTACTATTGGGCCAAGTGGAAACAAAAATTGTTTCTGCTCTGGCTTTTGAAAAATAAAACAGGAGGCAGCCTGTTCTTTCTTCTTCCGAGATCGCGGATTTTTCAAGATGGATTCTTTAATTTTCTCAACTCTTTTGCTGAAATTTTGTGTCACAGGAGCAGTCACGCTTTCTAGCAGATTTTGAACTTGCATAGCTATGATTTCACAATAAACACGACAAAACATATTGTAACTGCATAATAAAAAAGAGGGGGGGGGGAGGAAGTGGGCGGGGAGGAGAAACTGGTTTATTTTTATACCTGGCCTAATGTGTGGGGTCTATTATTAGCGATTTTGCCATTGATATGCTGTCTGATATATATGGTCTGGCCAACAGAGTCAACAGTGTCATGGATCTAGTAATCAGAGATCAGACACCAGTCCTTTTTATTTATGACTTTATGATTGACTTTTATGTAAAATCAATTTGGTTTTCATCAGATAAGACCCAGACGGACACTGCAACTTTGCAAGCAGGTGCAGCTGGAGACTACAGGGCAACAAAGCCAAAGTTAATCTCTCCAGGGAAGACAAAAAAAAGTCAGCCCTTTACAAACTGTAAATATTTTCTTAAGGAATTCCTCCGACAAACAATAACCTAGCAATCCATAAGGATGCTTGCGCCAAGCTCCCCCCGTAATCAATATCGCTTAAAGGATGGGGTCCCAAACCCTCTCGCTCCTGCTGAAAATAAAGAAGCAAATCTCTCAGTTATCGCGGAACAAAGCAATCGATGACTCCCCTAAGAAACGCAAGGATGACCTAATGCCGATGGAATCGTCCTCTTCAAAAGACACGGATTTCTCCATTGTCAAGAATGCTTTTAGAAAGATAAAACGGAATGGGAATGCACCCAATGACAAAATTAAATACCATTTTCAGGACTGAAATGAAAATGATGTCCTCCTACCAAGGTTGGATGTACTTCAGTTACAACTTACAGTTTGTGAGATAATCTCTTTGCTGATGGTTCGGGATAATGTATAAAGGCGGAGAAACTTGTTTTTTCCTTAAAATTTTCAGCCTCCAGGGAAATTTTATACTGTAATCTCCAGCTCGCAAGCATTTGTTGTGATAAATCCTCTTACTCTGAAATATATCACCTTGGATAAGAGACAATAAAGCCAGTTAAGTTTGTGTTAGGCTCAATTAGGCCAGTTTTGTGACTATTGAGACTTTCTGTAAGAAGCAGGGTCATCTTGTGTAATGTATTTGGCAATGGTGGATCCTTTAGTGGTGGGAGAAATCGGAGATTGCAAATCTGGTTTTCCGTGTTTTTCCTCAGTTTCCTAGTTTGCAGGATTCAGTGACCACTGGACCTTTACAAAAAAACACTCCAGAGTCAAAGTGTTAAAAAAAATGCCTGGAAACTCTTTGATAGTAGTCGAATGGGCAGGCTATTCATAAACCAAAATGACTGCTAGTGAGTAAATGCCGTTACAGTCACAGATCATGGAGCAAATTGGGGGATGTGCTTTTATTTTTCAGATTGTGTCACTACAAGTGGAAGGCTTCACTTTTTTTATTTAGGTCAATTTCTGGTTTCCAAACTCCAAACCAAATAGTGAAATTTAAATCGAGTTTTAAAAACCGGATTCTAATCCTACCAATAATTGATATTTGTTTGCGCTCTCCAATGAAAAAACACTCCTTCTCTAAAACGTCATCATTAACACAGATGCATCCATGATCGAAATACAAACATACATGTACTTAAGTTTTGGAAGTGCACAAAGTAAAGTTTAGGGTTGGGTAGATCAGATCCAAACATTATGAGGATGTCAACTCCTATACGAAGCTGAAAATTCGAGAGCAAATTAAAACCCCAACATTGGGCTACATGTTTAGCTGTGTCCTAATTACTTGTCTACCGCTTGCAATTATTCATGCGGCTATGGCAGCGGCTGAATCCGATTCCCATAGATCTGTGTATTATTCTTAGCCATAGCTGAGTCATTCGGACGAAGCTTCAGTTTTCCTTGACGGCAATGTTGACACAGCTCAGGCTTAGGTAGACAGTGAATTATCCAACATTCCACCCTCCCCAAAACCGCAGACCAATCTAACACAAAACAGCCACATAGCAGAAGGGCTAAAGAGGCCAAAGAAGAAGCACCTCTCTATGGGAGAGAAACGCAGTATAGAAAGGTCTTCCATGGACACACTGGCGCTTACAATAAGTTGCACAATACAAGAAGAACACAGATTTCTTTGGGAGGGGGGAGGGGAGGGAGTGTCCAACAATGCATTGGATGAAGCCAAGTAAAAAATAAACAAGTTTCTTGTGGCCACCAGCTTCTTTTTCCCAGCCCATCTCCCTTTTTTTTATCATACATTTGCAATATATTTTTGTCTTTTTGTTTACAGCAAAATTGTAGCCTTGTATGCGAGTTTGAAATCTTTTAGAAAGGGTGATGGCTCCTTTGGACTAAAAAAACAGTCAAGAAAATGGATGAATCTATCCTCCGTCTTAAAAATCCCCCATCTCTTGGGAGAAAAATGGAGGGAGGGGAGCACCTCTTTCCTTTATTCAAGACGTCTAGATGAGAAGCTACTTTTTTTTATTTAGTCTCAGCGTGCAGTGCTTAAAGGGATGCAAGGTATTGGTAGCTGCCTTTCTGAGGTCTGGAGTTATGCTGGTTTTGGTTTGGTACTTCGTTGATGGTGCTTGAGACCAGTGAAAAGTGCTCCCATCATTGCGTGACTAGCTGGCCGTCCAAGGCTGACCGGAGTGACTTTTGTAAATAACTGTCTACTCACGTTGTTATTGTGCACTCACACAGGCCCAAAATGCCTTCAGGATAAAAAGATAAAAAACTTAAAGCCAGCCCTGACACAGCATTGTGAACGGCTAGAGCTTGACGTGTATAAATTGACTGCCATAATCGACGCAGTCACGTTATTTCAGATGAGGTAGGGAGCCAAATACAGTGAGATAAACTCAAAAACAACTTCACTTGTGAACAACACTACCAGTAAACTGACAGTCACTAACAATGCAAAAGAGAACAAAGCTTCATACAAAAAAACTCCCACACACTGAAAAAAAAAGCAAGCAAAAAACTTTGGCAACTCTGATCAAAACTTTAACCCCGCCTTAACATTGTAAATATTTACAATGCCCAATAATGGAGTTGTCTCTACGACCAAAAATAGCTGTTTACTCAAAAAAGGGCAAAAGAAATTACCATACAAAACAGGATCAACTATTCTGAGGTACATTATGTAAATTGATGTGACAATTCAAGCAAACATTATTTGCGCAAATAGTTTGTCGGCTTTTATCATAACTCTTGTTGCCAACGACTCGGCATGGTGGGCACGACATTCCAAATATTCGGTAAACAACGGCACAAACTTTGACAACGGGAACCACACAATTCTCGGTAGGCATACCATAGTATTTTAGGCACACAATCGTGACAATGCGCATTGTTACAGCCGTGCGTTTAGTTAACACGTTGTGTGTGGACGGTCTGAATGGTGGCGTTAGTTCTCCTGCACTGGGCTCTATATTGATATCCCACTGTGAACGATTGATGTGGTTTAAAAACCCCATTGTTTCCATAATACACAGGCCAGTGGCCTTCACTGTGAGCCCAACACAAACCATCTGTGTGCATGTAGTGTTAGGACTGAAGTACATGATTCAGTGTATGATTCAGCGTACAGTATGATTCAGTGCCTGACAATTTCTGTAAATTCTTATGCATCAAGTGAAACCATATTGTTTCAAACTGAAGATGAACTCGTAAAATGTGACGATATTTTCCCTACCATTTTTTTCCATTAATAAAGTATACTCATGTCAATTTCTGACTACCTTGTAAATATAGGTATGGTTGTACAGTATACAGCGTGAGCAAGTTCTTCATGTAGCACTTTGAAAATCTAAGATATGAAAGCCCAATTCATGAGCTTTCTTTTAGTACAAGAATCATTCAAATCACTCATGTACTTTTCAAGTTACGGAATTTTTAAACACAACCACTGTTTTAAAGTTCTGTTTTGCTGAAAGAACACTGCACTTTTTTTTGTGATCCGTGGACAGAACCTTAAAACGGTGGTTGTGTTTAAAATTCCGTAACTTGAAAAGTACATGAGTGATTTGAATGATTCTTGTACTGCAACAAAGTTTATGAATTGGGCTTTCATATCCTATATTTTTAAAGTGCTATATGCAGAACTTCACTGAAACATTAGTCCCGACATTTGGGTTTCGTTTTTTTTTACTCACCCTGTAAACATGTGGAGAAAAACTGACACGCTTTACTAGTTGAACTAGGGGTGGGCAAAAATGTGACTCATCTCACTATTAACAAATGAATTACACTGCGCAAACAGCCAACTGAAATATTTCGAGCCTATTATTGGTTATTAATTGATGGATTTTACTATACATTGTACACAGAGTTCTTGTGTCGTTAGGTAATTGTTTTGCACAGAACCAGAGAAAAACACACTACTGGCTTCTCTGCTAGTAAGTTTATCAATTAAAGGTCAGTTTTTATTAACTTATTGCTAATTTTGTTAAAAATTAATTTACTCACCGTTGCGCCTCGTCGCTGGGGACAATAGTTTCATCACAGCTGATCAAACTTTAGTTTAAGCAACCGTCAAAGTTCAACTTCAGGATCACGGGAATGTATCTTTCATTCAAAATTCTCAACGAACAAAATGAAAGTACAGAGAGACTAAAATTGTTGAAACTTATATCTATTCCCACCAAAGCTTCAGGTTTTCAATTTCAACATTCAACAGAACTGGTTCCTACGTTCCAACACATCACAAGAGTTTATTTTGCTGGTACCGGCAGATCGTTGACTATGGAAGCGAATTATTAATGAAACACCTCCGCTGATCTTTAATATTAACAATTCCATAGACTGCGGCTACATCACAAAAAAAACCTCCAAAGTAGTTATCACAGCCTAACAGTTATTTTTAGACAAGGACTCATCAAGAAGCTCTGCTGATTTTTCACAACTCCATCAAGTTTTGCTCGATTGAAAACAACTCCCGAGTATTTATCACAATTCACATCCGAAGAGTTATTTTTAGACAAGGACTCAGGAAACTCCTATCCACAACTCCTCCATTTTGTGGATTTCTGGTCAGTCTTTCGTGCTCAGAGAAAAAGACACAATCAGCCAATCCAGGAAGACGTTACTTTGCTGTAGTCATTAAATTTTGGCCATGAGTGTCACCATGTCACGTAAGTGGTAAACAACCAATAAACATCATAGCAGGACACAACAGAGATAAATGTGGCAATCACCGGATTAGTTATGAAACATCCCCACCAGAGAACTTCCTCGTGATAATACTGCTTTCCGGGAATTGTTCATTAAAAAGTGGTGAATCCAATCAAACAGATGTACTATTCCGGCCGGTTTGGAAGTGGGTTTTGCAGTCCCCGAGTTTAGCCACAGCACATGGTGTGCCCCCTCCGTGAGTTCACTGAATGAGCCACTAGCTTCACACCACAGTCACACCAAACCCACGAACTGAACAATACCCAGCTAAAAAAAAAAAATTCCTAATCAGTTTGACCTTTGACACGGGGCACACCATTTCCACTATAGGGAACAGTAAACGATGAATCACCACTGGTACACACATGTGAGAGCATTCTCAATATTGAGTGTAGACACATTTGGTGTATGCAGCAAGATTATAGGCTATTCTTATTCAACCCAACCACGCCACATTTTGTTTGATTAATAATAGAACCATAGAGGATAGCTTAACTGGATTTTAAGGCCCAACCATCAATACAAAGACTTCCATTATCGCCCGACAGTTATATGGGTTAAAGACATTTTCCCCTCCAAGTTTTCTAATCCCTTGAGCATTTTCTTACAATGAATTAACAGAAAGTAAATGTTATTTCATGAAGGAGACAGCACTGTGAGTAATATACGGTACTGGCGAGTTTTACTTCGTCCATGGGATCACAGGAGGTGGTTTGTTGGGGTTTATACCACGATCAAATAAGCCTTCAGAAAGTACACTGTAGATGAGTTAATCCTTAAGTCGGCAGACTTATATTAGCCAAGGCAGGACACATCATACATATTGTAAAATTCACACCAAACTTCTTCCCCCTCCAAAAATAAAAACTGATATCTCCAAAATTAAAATTTGTTTCCTCACTTTTAATTTTTTGTCTTGGTGGGGGGTGGGGGGGGGGGGGGTTATGTGGGATTTCAGTACCTTCTCTATCTTGTGATATATATTTTTTTTTAAATGTCCATTTTCTTCAACTTTTGGCAAACTTAAAACCCCAAAATTGTGCAATTCATTTGAGCACAATCAGTCAGCGATGTAATGAATTATCCTTTCCCCCCCCCCAAAAATGCATTGTGAAATGATCTCTTAAAGATGACTGCATATATATGCCACTATCACCTGATTAAGACTCTTACCACTTTGAATTTTCGTATTCATTCTTCTCCCCAAACGATTCTTATTAGTCACTTATTTAGTCTGTTAAGGGGAAATCATCACTTGAAGTTCTTGGAAGAATACAATGCAGTGCTAGGCTATGTGCGCCTGGGCTTCGTCAGACCCAGGGGCCCTCCAGAATCTGTGAAAGCAATTACATGTACACTGTAGGCCTATAGTGCTTCCAAGAAATGTACGAATGGACGACCATCTTTTGCTTATTAAGAAAGAAAGAAAGGTGGACAGAAGTAAACAGCAGATCACAAGGGTGCATACCTGTAAATAGGCCTAAACCCATCCGCCGAGCTCATTGAAGTTATGCCCTCAAAATATTCCATACTAGAGAGTTCTGAGAGCCAGAAAATTGGGGAATGGAAGAGATATGGCACTGAACCTCTGGCCCGGACTTCGGGCTTCCAATTCTGAGCATTTGGGGTGCAATTGGGCTCGAAAGTGGCGCTATTTAGCCATGTTGTGGAGGGATCGTTTTTCAAGATGGCTACTTCTCCGCTTTGGGAAAAAAGGGGTTGTCTTCTTTGGGTGAGAATTTCTCAAAAATTCAATAGTCAAACCACCAAAAATGAAAATAAAATGAAAGATGACATGTTGATATTATTTTTCTGTGCACCTTGAACATAAGTTTAACCCCTCTTTCCCTAAAACAGTTGTTTGGTCTAGAATTGTGACGTGGCATAAAATTGTTATTCATGTTTACAGTGATGGAAAAGATATCAAATGTGTAGGCCCTCCTTACGATAAAGCTGAAAGCAAAATCCCGACTTTGGATGCAAATTTCATTCACAGCCTGGCTTAACACTTAACTTAGCCCCAAAATACAAGTCCGCCATTCAAATATCGTTTGTGTCTAAAATAAACATCTCGATTTACAGATCAGAGGTTGGGTATTTGCGGGTAAAAAAAACTCCAAAGTTATTAGCAGTTCACTGCACTGTGGCCACCTGACCCAATAACTTCAACAACACAGCCCCTCAAACTACCCGGTAACTCAACAAAAATACTGCCTGGAGATGTCCAACCCACAACCAACAACTACAGGATAAGGACTTTCAGAGAGCGAGCATACAGAGAGGAAATTTCTTTCTTTTGATGCGGCAGTAACCACAGAAAGAGGGACAATGGGAAGGAAGTACACCCGACTTGGAATTTGGGTGATTCGGGTGAATACGAAAGTACTAATTCCGCACTCTGGGCTAAGGGGAAAATGGTCATCAGGGAACAGTTTACAAGCTGTTTTGCTGATGACAAAACCTAACATACAAGTCATTAATTCCAATTAGCTGGAAGTAAACATTTACTAGAAACTCTCATCTCTTAACAAGTTGGTGACAAACACACTGAAACAAACAATTAAAAAAAAGCAATTACTGGCATTTGTGGAGTGCCATGGGTTAGTGGTCTGGAGCATTGAATTCGTGGTCTGCGGGTAATTCTGCAGGTTGTGGGTTCGAGCCCAGCCTGGGCTATCACACTTCTATACGGGTAGAGGCATTACTAATGCCTTGCAGGGGACTAGTTACCCATCCCAACCCTATTCATACTGTGAAGAGATTAGATTATCTTGTCTTGTTACAGTGTAAGGGGCTGGTTCTTCCACACTTTCTCCTTGTGATGTGCCATTTGTATAAAAAAAAAAAAGATTGTCAAGAAAGAACATTTTCAGGTATGCTGAATTTCCGACAAGCGAATTTTGTTCGGTTTAGTGATGTCATCGTCCACGACCACCATATAACCATCACTCTAAGAACAATATTTGTAAAGAAAAATGTAATTTAATTGACATGTATGCTTTTTTTACTCAACAAATTATTCTTATATGTTTTAAAGAATTACAAATGGTAAAAAAACATGTTTTTAACAGAAAATTTCTGTTAAGGAAAAAAAAGTTCCGTATACTTTTAGACGACTCTATTTTAATTTGTTGAATAATGAGACTGGTTGAGGCCGGTTCCCTCCTCACATTCGAATGGAAGGATCGGGAACCAGTGACTAGCTTCACTTGTTTGTATATGTACAGCTGGGAATGGCTGAAGAGATCAGTGGTCAAATTAAAACATCTGTGCTGTTGATAGTACAATAACAACCTACGTACAAATGTACATACACTGTACGTATGTTAATGTACATGTACGTTTATGACATACATGTACAAAGATCTGTTTGCCTCTTTAGCTTGCGATACAAAATTGATTGTGACTATCATTACAAAATTGATATTCTTGATAAGGAGGGGCCTAGATACTAATTGGACTAGACTTGTCACAGTCAGTTGATAAAACGAGTATCACCTGGCAGACTATCTGCCAATTTTTGACCCACACCAATAGAGGGCGCTAATCCTATCTTGTAAATTGACTGTAGCCAAAAAAAGTTTTATAATACTGTAAAAGATAAACAATGTAACCTGCATGCACAGGAACATGTATGTGTGTACGTGCAGTATGCATGGGAAAATCTGGCAGTGAAGGAACTGATAAACCTATAGGAAGTTAACAGTGTCAAAACCTCACACAAAACTATACCAGTATCAAGGGTGGCTTCCGGAATGAAATTCAGTTTTTAAACTGTCCTAATTTAGTTTCCTGTGAAGTGCTTTCATTTTCACTTCCACAAAGTGAAAGATTGTCCAAGTGTCAATATTTCCTGTGTTGACTTGACTTTTTTGGGGAATGATTTCAAAAAGACCTGTAACATACAAGCCCAAAAAAGTAGGCTTGGCTAAATACTGGATCATTTGCTTTTCCTGCATTTTGTTCATTTCCAATAATAATTCCACTCAAAATCCAAAGAAAAATGTTCAAAACCTAACCTGTTGAAGTTTCAGCTCAGTGGATATTACACTTTTGAGGAAACAGTGGAAAAAAAAAATGTACAACCTTTTGATTACGAAACACGATTTCGTCAATAGCACTCTTTATTTCCAAAATCAGTCCTTTGACTGATCATTGTGGAAATCACCTACATTTCTTGATTTCTTCTAAATGACAGTGAGCCAGACGGAATAATTTCACGGGGTGTTTAGTACCAGTACGATCTTTAATCCAAGCAAGCTTTTTGATAACAATTCGGTAGGTAACTTTTAGGATAAATGCAAATGATCCTATATGCCTTTAATGTATGAGCACATAGATTTTCAAAATAGCTGACAAAGTTTCTGGATCATACAAGTGTGAGAGTCATTTTTTGGAGTGACCAGTTCACATTGCCCGAGGCATGATCTGATGAAAAATTTTTTCCCACATCACATCCAATAAAAGAATTCCCCTTCCCCTCGAAACACCTGCGAAGTCCATGGTAAAAAAAAAATGGTTGCCATGGCAATGGCATTCTCAAAGGGCAGCTTTTTTGGAGCTGGGATAAACATACATGTACATACTTACCTCACATATAAGCAGGGGGAAAGCAGTAATCATTATAAGGTTCACTGAAATAATTCACAAATACTACTACATGTATGTTTTTCAGCAATATGTTAACATTTGATAAAGTTTTCAGTGTCATGTTCACGTACATAAATGTACAATTGTACACGTACATGGCCATTTAAGATGAACAAATACCTAAATTTTTCACTACATTACTTAACCAGTTACTTGGGGAATATCTGTACATGTACGTGCTGCTTGTTCTAAAAACTCTTCATTTGCATGAGTTTCAACACAGATATTTGTAATGACATTCATTTCAATCGTGTTGTCTAAAAACTGGTGAAGTACATGTACTGTAGCTCAAATTTATTGTAGTTTTATAATAAAATCAATAAAAAAAATATATTGCAGTATAGACCATGTGACATTTGTTTTTGAAAATTGTGGAATTGCGGCAAACTGTTCTCTTCTGCACTGCGTGTATATCTCTTGAAATATGAAATGGTTTAAAAGTCTACCGTTTCATTAAAGTGAGCCAAATAACATGTAAAAGATGTTCAAATTTGGGGTTTCCCTGGCGTTTGCCTGTCAGCATGACATCACAGGTCACATGGTCTAAAGTCTGGGGACTGCCATCCCGTTTTCAAAGCTAACGAGC